CTTTACTAGGAGAAACTTATGAAGCAGACTATCCTGACAAAGGAGTTCGTTTCTTCTCTGAGAAGGTCAGTCTTCAAGATCTAATAGAGTTTACTTCTTATGAAGAAACGTACTGCCTTATATTGAACTTAAATTGACAAATTAGAAAATTTTTTTATTTTGATTAAATCTAGGGCTTCTGACTTTTCGTCAGTGAGGAGAAAGTCAACTTGATGTTTTACTTTTGCATACCCTTTGATAAATGAAATAACACAGCCTTGAGAAGAAAATGACATGTCTTGAAGTATTGTAGATGCTTTTAAGCAACAAAACAAAGGATTTTGTTATTAAAAAAAAAGAAAAAAAAAGAAGAAAGAAAGAGCGAAGGACTTCCATCATCTTCTTCTTTATTATGGATAACCAAGATGTTGGAAATTATTGAGAATAATGTTTTGAACCATTTATCTGGAAAATGAAAATTCCCTGGACAGTTCTTGGAAGGAATGTTTCATCTTCAAACAATTATTGGTTTGAGGTTCTCAAAACAGTGAATAGGAACATTACAAAAGTGTTTTTTGAGAACTTAAAGAGCAAACTTGAATTACTCTAGTTTTGTAGGTCCTCGGTGGACTTTCCTTCCCAAATAGTTGCTTTTATTTATCTGAGTGTAAATGTTCAAATATTTGTATTGAATTTTCATAGCATATATGACTTACCTTTCAAGTTGAAACAGGTTAGTCATCACCCAACCCTTATTGCCTGTCATTGTGAAGGTAAAGGGTGGAAATTCTGGGGCGATAGTAACCTCCGCACAAAGTTTTGGGGGCGGTCAATTCAGCTTGACCCTGTTGGAATTCTGACCCTAGAGTTTGATGATGGTGAAATATTTCAGTGGAGCAAGGTGTGCACTACTGGGCTGTATATTTACTGGATGTGCTGCTTTGGTGTTTCCATATTCTAGCTTCCATTTCTATTTGCATGGTATGAATTATTTGAACTTCATTCTCTGCAGGTAACAACCACTATTTATAATCTTATCCTTGGTAAAGTGTATTGCAATCACCATGGGTTGATGCACATTCACGGGAATCGCCAACATTCATGCAAACTCAAATTCAAAGAGCAGTCTATTCTTGACCGGAACCCTCACCAGGTTTAGTTGTCAATCTAATTGTTTCTTAAGTTTCTTTCTAGTAGCGAATTCAGTTATTTTTCTCAGAATCCAGAAAATGGATTATCTATGCAATTGTTTTATCCTGGCTGTATTACTTCATGTTAATATTAGTCTACCTTCTGTGTCTTAAAAAGAGTTATTTTCTGTAGTAAATTGTTTATCCTGTCCTACATTACTTAGGTCCATGGGTTTGTTGAAGACCTTACGGGTAAAAAGGTTGGAACATTAATTGGAAAATGGGATGACAGCATGTATTATATCAATGCTGACGGGAGTGGCAAGCCAAAGGACTACAGTCCTTCATCAAATGCCTCCTTGCTATGGAAGAGGGATAAGCCACCTCCTAATCTGACTCGCTACAACTTAACATCATTTGCAATCACACTAAATGAGCTAACACCAGGACTGCAGGTAGAGATGATGTGTTGCATCACTTTCTCATAAGCATTTTCATTTTTCTCTTATGCATATCTAATTGTTTTCTATAGCTTTTTCTGATCCTGGGTATTTGATCACGGATTAAGGAGATGCTACCCCCTACGGATTCTAGGCTTAGACCAGACCAACGTCATTTGGAGAATGGGGAGTATGATAGAGCAAATGCAGAGAAACAACGGTTGGAAAGGAGGCAGAGAATGGTATGTTTCCACCTTTTCTGTTTTCATATATATTTATATATGCTTACGCTTTGCTGACAAATGGTGTTTGAACGGACACTGTCAATGGTATGTTTTATGCATCATGGCTTCTACACCTTGCCTATATTTTAAATCTGGTTATGAATGAATTGTTTGTTTCTTAAGTGGACTGAATTTGCTTTGGGGGTTGATAAACATGTGTGAGAAAAATCAGTGATATCAAATTTTAATTCAATTCAAATTTAACTGCAGAATGCCATGATTTTCAAGTCTAGGAAGTAAAAGTTGGTCTTGATTCCTTGCTTTTTTATTGCAGCTTATGATATAAGTGATGACATGAGGTGGCCGTTTTGGCCTATGTCTTTTTGTCCATGTTTGCATACACAAACACATAAAAAGTCCCTCATTAAAACTAAGATGTGAGTGTTTCCCAGAATATCTTTTTTTTTGGCCATATATCTCAGAAGATCTGTTAGGCTAGAAAATTTAACAATAGTGAGATGTCAATTTCAGTGCTGCAGATTCAAACACATAATTGCTTAGTAGTTATTTGTTGGTAAAAAGTTGTTAAGAAAATCCTATTAATTTTCTGGGACCTTAAATTATCTGGATATGTCGGCAATAGCAATTGAATGATTTTGTACAAAGCACAATGGAGATGTGAATATTGTGTCAATGTTCACCATAAAACAATGGCACCTCATTCCAATTGATAATTAGCATGATAAATGAGAAATTGATTGTAGCACGATAGAATGGTCAACTTGTCGTGTCATCATGTGGTTTCATCAGTTCTAGAGCACTTGCATGATGAGGAGGATATTTGATATGGATAGTTAAGTGATCGGTAAAATTCATCTCCCTTTATTAATATCTGAGGATTTTTACCTAAACAAAATTCTATTCAAGGTGATCTCATATCCTAATCAATAGCTATCTCACACTTGTACACCAATTATATCAACATACATTTAGAACTTATTAATACTGGTTTGGAAACCATTTTGTTGCAAGAAGCAACTCTTACTGCAATGAGAAATGAATGCTCTAACTGTTGACATGATTCATATTGCTGTGGTAGAAAATTGCTAGATTGTATAGTCGATTAAGACATATTGGCAACAATTTCTATTTCTCTTTCTAGGCGGGGTCCAATTTAGATTATTGCTTTTAATGCTGATCTTCACATTGCCTCTGGTCTTGAACAGTCAAGAAAATTACAAGAGAATGGGTGGACGCCTAGATGGTTCCAGAAAGATGATGAAAATGGATCCTTCCGCTATGTGGGCGGTTATTGGGAAGCAAGGGAACAGGGGAAATGGGATGGATGTCCAAATATATTTGGTGAATTCAATGAAGAACTTGTTGATTCCTCTGAACGATCCTGACTTCAATTTTAGGTGAGTAGATGCATTAACTTCAAAACTACATGTGTATGGCGGATGCCTCTCTAGTAATCTTGTTTCAGTTGAAAGGCAAAATGAAAAAAAAAAAGAAGAGCTTGATAATTGTTACTTGAATGTCCATAATCTAGCTACCATTTTTTGCTGCAATTGGTTGGCTTGTCATTTAGACCTGACCATGCGTAAATTTGCTGATCATGTAGAATGGACAAACATCCGGGGGTTAATCATGGAGCAAATTTAGACTTGAACACATAAAGTAGCTTTGATTCCAGATTACCATTCTAGCTGTTTGGAAAGATTGCATAGCAATATTCACATGGTCGACCCAAGGGACATCCAAAGTTAAAAGAGTTTGATCTTTAGTCAGTAGATAATGGATAGGTCAGAGCCTAAATTTTTCTGTAATATAATCTCTATTGTGGGAATTGTTTGCGTAATGTAATCTCTCCATAGTTCATTTATTCTAGCTCCCTCAACTGAATGAGCCGATGGGCTGAAAATTTCATATCATAACTATTTGTATTTACTTCCTAGGAATTAATAAATGAAAAGAAAAGAAAAAGAGAAGCGTATTATTGGCATCACCCTTGCGTCTGATTGTGTTTGCTGGTGCAGATCTAAACATTGCATTATAGTTCTCCATGTTCCAATAATGAAATGGGAAATGTTAAAATCCTTTCTAATCGAATCTCTCGAATTTTTGTCGATCGACTATATATAAATTTAAAAAATTTATAGATAAAAATTTAATAGATTCGTAAATTTCAATTAAATTAATGATTTGTCTTAGTATTGGAGAAATTGTTTTTAATAAAAAATAAAACAAAAATCACACTAGCAAAAAATATGAAATGATTATATCTAATTGAAAAAACATGATCTGACACACGTGCTGGCGTTTGGATTTTTATCCTATATTTGGGTCCAACCAGATCTTCGCCAGGATCCGTCATACATTTCCCTACTTGGTGTGTGTAGGGTAAAGCTTCCACCAACGGATGTCATATCCCTGCAAAGCAGATGATAAGAGGGGAAAAGAAACACGAGGAGCAAGGCGTACGACAATCCTTATCCTCGGAAATGCACATGATTCCCGCTGGTCATATCTACCAGATTGAGGACAAATCTACAGTACCTCCCACTTGCACCACATGTTCCCTTTTCATTGCTGTATTGTTTTCCATGTCCCTTCAATTCCTAGAAATCTCTCGCACGTAGGGTGGGCCTCAATCTACCTTACTGTTTTTGTACCGACGTCATTGCTTTATGAGGTTAGTGGCTAAAAATATTCCAAGTGTATAAAGTATTGAGTTCTACAAATTTAGATTGAATGACTGAAACTTGGATATTACAGTTAAAAAAATTGTGGGAAACATATATTATCCAGATCGATGACTTGTTCATTTCCTCATGATATGAGTGTCGGTCGAAATTGACATCTTGCACTAGAACCTGGCATCATGTAATCCTTCATGGTTCATAGTTATCCGCTATATCGGGGGCTTAGCTTCGCAACAATGAAAAGTATTTCCCTTTACAAAGATCAGTTTGGTTTCAGGCCAATAAAACCCACCAATCCTTTATGGCTTAATTTCGTGAATGCAGGAACATGACAGCACCCCTTAAATTATTATGGTTCCACAAAATTATGAGAGAGAGAGAGAGAGAGAGAGAGAGAGAGAGAGATTTTGGCCTTATCTGTATGATATTTTTGACCATCTAGGATCCTTTCACTGCTCAAAAATTTTAATTGCGTCCCAAGCTAGGGACATGAGCAACAAATGGACAGGATCCCATTTGCCCAACGGGCCGAAATGGCACCAGATGCATATGGCTTTTAAAAGTGGAGGAAAGGTTTTCACGTGATTGCTTGCATGCAAATATCGATGGTGCCAAACTTTGATCATATGCATTTTTGTGCTCTAATTAATTTTGACATGGATTTAAGAGAGGAACAGCCCTTGCCATGGATTTTTGTGCTGCCATTCTGCCTATTGAGAGAGGGAGAGAGAATCCGGCAAGGTGCAAGGATATGGTAGACAATACCATAATCTTTATTTCTAAACAATAATTGAATTAATGTTTGAATAATATATCTTGATTCCCCACCCCGCATCAGCTGGTTGTAACTTTTAGGAAAAGGGATTCGTCGGGTTCTTGTTCCTTTTCCCGATCTTCTTCCTCCTCTATCATTCACTTTGTCATTTGCTTGGTAGCCTTTGCGAGGTAGGTGAACACTTTTGAATTCTTTTTCTAAGGTGTAAGTGCCAAATCTAACAGGTCATACATGTATTATCAGCTTGCTAGAACGACCAATTGGGGTTTAATTTGTCACTACATGACATGTTAACGTTAAGTTGCACCCAAATCAATGTGAAATGAGTTTTAAGTTTCTATACTTTTCATTTTGAAGTTCTTTTTCGAAACAAGTTAAAACAAAAGAACTCATCATTTTTGCTTGAAATTCTTCTTGCTCATCATCCTTTACCATTCTTTTCGTACACGTGAAGGGTTTTCAAACTTATTGAAAGTCCAGCGAAGGACTTATAATACATATTTACAAACAAAAAATCTTAATGAAAGTGACTTGTCCAGTCCAAGAAACTCCCATATTCATTTAATGGAAGGTAGTTTCTGCTTCTTCCAATTCAATCCCTTCATCAGCAAGTCTCTTGTCCTCGTACACGTACCATTTAGCAAAAACCAAGTAAATTCCCAAGTTCAAACAACTCAAAATTGCCAAAAGCCAGTAGAAATTATAGAGCCTCCCTTGGTTCAGATTGTCTGGTAGCCATGGCTTCTTGTTTCCAGTGACCTTGTGAACTATAGTAACCAACAAAGAACTAACGAAAAATCCTAATGAAAGGGTACTCAAAAATAAACCTGTACTCATTGTTTTCATCCCTTTTGGGCACTCCCTTAAGAAAAGGTCAAGCTGCCCTATATATGTAAAAGCTTCCCCAGCCCCCACAAAAAAAAACTGAGGGACCAGCCAGAAGACGCTTAATGGGATTTGAGCCGTCGGATTATTTGTAAGACCACGTGACCTTGCGGCTCTCAATCGCTTTATTTCCGTCAATGCTGCTGCTACCATTGCAACAACGGATAAAACTAAACCAACTGCGATACTTTGCAAAGGGGTTAAACCCTGTGGGTTTTTGAGAACTTTTCTTGCAATTGGAACAATGAGTCTGTCGTAAATTGGGACAGTCAAAAGAATGCTACCAACGAAGAAAACCGTGAGTGATCCTGGTGGGATTTGAAAATTGCCAATGTGACGGTCCATGGTAGTCGCCTGAGACACTGAAAATGTTGTCATTTGGGCATAGACGGTCCAAAATATGACAGTGGTTGCCCAAATGGGTAACATTCTTAGCACCAATTTCACTTCTTCAACATCTGTTAAGGTAGCTAAGTTCCACTTGTTTGCCTCTGGAACAGATGCGTCCTTGATCGCTGCCTTGTCCAAGAAACTATACACAATTTGAATGAAGACATGAAAAAAATTAGCCAATTAAATGATTACCAGCAGGAATTAATCATTCTTTCACATCCAACCAAACACGTTTAGAAAATTGTGTACTTTTCTCTTCTTTTTTCTTTACAAGGAATCATGAAATGTCATTGTTTCTTGGCATTCGGGTTAGATTTCAATTTGTCAATCTGTGCATTATTACTATTCTCATTAAAATGGTGAGGAAACGTATATGTTCGGCTAAGGAATTATGAATCCACCAAATTAAGAATTTGTGGGCCATATCCTAATATAGTAGTAGTGTTTTTGTTTTCTTTCGTGAGTGAATTTTTATTACAAAAACAAAGAAAGTAAAAAATAGTTGTCAACGTACTATATAGAGTTGAAGATGATTGGTTTTTAAATAGAAGACTAACCGGAACTGCTTGCTGTGGGGCAGCTTTTGCTTCTTCTTCTTCTTCAATCCCTCAGCTACATCATCAATATTGAAAAGCAACGATGAATCAGATGGCAACTCCAAAGACCTCTTCTTCCAAGCAACTATAAACACTGCGGCAATTTGGGTCAATGGGCTCCCCACCAATTTCTTGAAACGGTACCGCCTGGTACCCGATAGAAACACGGCCAACCCTATCACAATAGCACAAGCACAAATACCGTAGCCCCATTCACGCCCTAAATTGTCTTGGATGTACACTAGAATGGATACTGAACTAAGTGAACCTATGTTTATGAAGAAAAAGAACCAGTTGAAGAATTTTGTCATCTGGGATCGCTCTTCAGCGTCTGACTCATCGAATTGATCTGACCCAAACCCTGACACGCTTGATTTGAGACCGCCAGTGCCAAGGGCTGTCAGGTAAAGGGCTAAGTAGAGAATAATGAGTTGTATGCCGCTTGCTGGGATGCAAGTTGTGGTGTTGTCCATGGTGCACTTGGGGGGGCTTAGGCTTGGGATTACTGTTGAGATTGTCAAGATGGTGACGCCCTACTCGCCAACATAATAAAAAAGAAACAAAACCAACTTTGCACTTAGCATATTGTAATTACTTCAATTGGGGTATGTAAAGAAAACATGATTGTTCAATCAGAGGAAATGAATCTTACAGTTGCCTGAACAGCGGCGAAGATTCCAATTGTGAGATATCTGAGAATTCAAGGAGCAAAAGATAAATGTAATTAGTTACTTAACTGAGTAGCGCATAGGAAACTAGAAAAGTTTTTTATATGAGAGTTGGAGAAGACGCCAGACCTGCCAAGAAAAGTGTCTGCGATAAAACCACCGAGAAGACTGAGCATGAAAGATGTACCAAGGAAGTTAGTGACGGTGGTGGCTGAGGTAGCGTTGCCCAAATGCATGGTTTCCGTCAAATACGTTACCAAATTAACAGCGATACCTAACGTTGTTAGCCTTTCACATGCCTCAACACCTGAGAGATACAGCAAAAAAAAAATCCCATCTGTTTATGCCAAAACCAAACCTACATCAGAATTTAAAACAAAGCAAAGAATTAATATTGTAAGGAAGGAGGGGATAAAAGACCTAAAATCATGGCGGTACTGGTCCAGCCACCAGACTTGGACCGCTCAGCCGGGCAGCCCTTGTAATCCCATGCATCGGGGAGGGTTTCCCCTTGTATTACAGGGACGGGCATTGTTTGATATAAGGTGACCAAGGGTTGCAGAAAGCTTTGATAATGCTAATGAAGAAGAGAAAAGAGAAAGAACATTGGCAAGTGATGAGGGGCAGTGGTGGCACAATGGAAGCAAAGGCCGGTGGTGGGGTTATTTATACTGGAGGCTTTATTGTGAGGTCAGGTGTGAGATAAAGTCCATTTTGGAGTAAGTAACACTTGTACCTTAAGTGTCATAACCGTTTTGGAGCCAATTTGGAAATAAAAATGAAAAACGAAGTCTTATCGATTTTTTTTTTGGTAGATATGATTGACCATTTATTAAAATTTATCTTTTTAATAAAATATTAAAGTTAATTAAGATTTATTAAAAAAATAATTTTATGGTCTGCGAAACAATTTAGGTTCGAGAGTCGATTACGCGTGAGGAAAGATTAATACCCCTACAACGCTCGTTTAAAATGATACTAATTAACTATATGTTATCCATTTATTTTGATAAAAATAATCTTATTTTCGGTGTTTAAAAATAATTTTCTTGATTTTTCATTTATTGGAATTTAGTTTTTCTTTTTTTTTAATAAAAATTTATTATTCTAATTTTATTTGAGAAAAATAAATTAAAATTTTTTTATTGAAATAATTCTTAAAATGTTCAAGTACGTTGGTAACATTGAAAGAATTCTTTCTCACTTAGAGATTTTTTAGGTATCTCTTCTTAGAATACCTTAGAATCTCATTCTCGAAGGCTCAAATTTAATTTTTGCAAAAAACTATGCCATGCATGCAATACAAATGATAATACGTTAATGCACCCATTTTATTTTTTCATTTATAAATTTTATTGATTTTTATTAATCTTTTTCATTTAAAACTTTGAAGAAAAAATGAATTTTTATTATATTGAAGATTTTCTATAAATATTTTAATACACTGATAATATTTAAAAAAAATATTCTCCTCTAGAGATTTTTCAAAGCATCTATACTCGGAATACTTTTAGAATCCTGTCACAAGATAAAATTTTCTTTTTTTTCATTTTTTATTACTTATTTTTAACAAGTTAGTTAATTTTTATTTACTATTTTATAACAAAAATTTTTTTTATTGTATTGAAATTTTTTTATAAATACTCAAATATACTGGTAGTATTTAAAAAAATCTTCTCACCTAGAAATTTTGTAAGTATTACTACTTGAAATACCTTTAAATCTCATCATCGGATAAAAATTTTTTTTCTTAAATTGTTTTTATTAATTTATATTATTATTATGAAGTTTATTTTTATTTTAAAGTTTATTTTAAAATTAACAAAGTTATAAAAATTTTAACTACATATTTCATCATTTATTTTTATTTACTAATTAATTATTTATCATAACAAAAATTTATTCTAACAAATATAAATATTTTAATATGCATAAACATTAATAACAAACAAAACAAAAACTTAAAAAAAAATACCTGAACCGGACTGGTTAACTTTCCAGTCATGTGGGTCTAGGTCGATTCAGCAGTTTTGCACAGTATGATTTGGTCTGGACAGGTTTGACTGGATCGGTTAGAGGTCAAAGGGTGAATGGGTCATCGAGTTAGGTGCGCAGATCTTGGGTCAGGTCATGGACTGATCCGCGAACCCTTGAAGCTCAAAACGACATCGTTTTTGTCTTTTAAATGAAACGACGTCATTTTGGGGCTAGCCTTCTATATAAAAGTTAATTTTTTTATTTCATTTCTCCCCCTCTCCAAAAAAAAAAAAAAACTCTTCTTTCCCCTTTTTTTCAAACAGACCTAGGGCAGATGGCTGTCTGCCATGATAACTGTCGTGTTTTTCATTGTCGGTGAGCTCTGACTATAGTTATCAATGTCGAAAAATTCTAAAAGAAAACCAAAATGCTCCTCATAGCCTCAAGACTCTAGATTTGAGCTTGGTTTTATGAAAAAAAAAAGCTCTAAATAGCGCAGATCTGACCTGAAAATTTTGGTCAAAATTTTTTTTGTGTTTGTGTTTTTTTTTATGCTTGCATCGGGTTCTTTACTTTGGGGGCTGAGTTTTTTTTTGTTGATTTTTTATTTTATTTTTATTTTTACAAAATATTTTTTTTGTAAGGTTTTTTCTCATTTCTTCCTCTCCATTTGGGGTCGACCAGGAGCTTTATTTATAGAGCTCCCGCTGTAGCCCTATGTTTGGGTAAGTGGCACAGGATCTCGCAGAAGGGGGTTCCGTCAGCTCTAGCCTTTTTGTTTCTTTTATTTTGTCCAATTTTGACCTTATGCCTGAGCAAGTGGCATAGGGCCTAGTAAGGGTGAGTGGTGCCAGTGGTGCTGTGAAGGCACCCCTTGCTTCCTTTGTTTTTATTTTTTTTATTTTTTTTGTTTGTCCTTTTGTTTGTTCATTTTTTTCTATTTTGTTTAATTTAACAAATAAATAAAATAAATAAAATAAAACACATGTCAGGCCTAAAGAATAAAATGGGTTTTGAGTCCGATCGAAATTGAACTTTAGGCCCGGTTGAATTAAAATTGGGCCTGAAGCCTAGTTGAATTGAAATTGGGCTTCGACTCAAGAACCCAATATACCTGACAAATTCTAAAGCAAGACTCAAATAAAATCCAAACAAATTTAGTGTTTATAGCTGCCTCTCTTTACACATTGCTGAGGATCAGGAATACGACAAAGACAACGACAATAATTTTGTTCGAAATCCAAAGAGTTTTTTTTTTTTTTTTTGGTTTTTAACTTTAAACTAATTAGAAAGCTTTTCTCATTAAATCAAAATGTTCCTCTTCTTCGAGGCTCAACAACTTTTTAAAATTTAAAATCTAAAGAACGGCTCATCTTGGTAGAGGCTCAATAACTTTAAAAATCTCATCTAAAGAGGTTCCTCTAAGTAAAAGCTCAATAACATTAAAATCTCATTTGAAAAAGGCTCTTCTCATTAGAAACTCAACAAATTTAAAAATCTCATATGAAATGCTTCTCTAAGTAGAGGCTCAACAACTTTAAAATCTCATCTTGAAAAAGGCTTCTCTCAGTAGAGGCTCAACAACTTTAAAAGTTTTATCTTGAAAAAGCTTCTCTAAGCAGATGCTTAATAACTTTAAAAGTCTTATCTTGAAAAAGTCTCCTCTTAATAGAGGCTCAACAACTTTAAAAATCTCATCTGAAAAGGCTCATCTAAGTAGAGACTCAACAACTTTAAAATCTCATATTAAAAAAGACTCATCTCAGCAGGAGCTCAACAACTTTAAAAGTCTTATATTGAAAAAGGCTCATTTCAATAGAGACTCGACAACTTTAAAATTTTTATCTTAAAATCGAGATGTCATCTTTGAAAAAGTAAATTTCTCTCTCTTTCTTTTTTTTTGAGTCTTTTCTTTGATCATTATCCTTATTCAAAGACCAAAATTTTGTTTTTTCATTAGGGAATGAAAAATTCTTGTATTTGTTATAATCATTCATGTATGTGTGTACTGAATGCTCTAGATACAATGCATGTGATGCAAACAAAATTATTTATTTCTAATTGTGGAAAAAAAATTCTAAAAAATTCTCGCCTTTTTCTTATTTTTTTTTATCAAAATTCTTAGTAATCGTTATATGACCAATATGTTTTTAACGTCTGACTGTTGTATTGTTTCTCAAATTTTTTTTTTTAGAAATCTGCAACATTAATGTCTTGTCATGCTTTTTTCATCCTTTTTTATCTGTTTTTGTCAACTTTAAAAAAAGTAATGCTGAGATATTTCATCTTTGTTTTTTCATCATTTTAAGGTTAAGACAAGCAAAATGCAATCACACATTTCTCTCATTCATTTGTAAGGTGAACAAAGATATCAAATGAGGTAAAAGAATGGATAGGTGTTATTTCTAAAGAAAAGCTAGCATGTTTTATTAGACTAATAATAAGTGCATGTCAACAAAAATGTTTGAGTCAAAACAAAAGTGCCCAAGTAATGATCACAAGATAATCATGAACAAAATATTTTCATATTCTTTTTCTAAAACTAAATCAGATTATTTTCTTGATTCTTCAGAGTTCGTCAAACTACATTTGTCCCATGTATTGTAAGGTCATCTTTCTATGATGCTTCTCATTCACTTTCAAGTTACCTTTTTAGGTTTTCAACTTAGATAAGTCATCATTTTTTTCAAGCAAAATATTTCTTTACAGTATCTAAATTTATTAGAGTAGGTAAATCACTTTCATCAATTTCTGCCAAAATCAATGTCCCACTAAAAAAGGTCTTTTCCACCACGTACAGGCCCTTCCAATTTGGAATTCCTTTTTCTCGATTATCATATTGATTTGAAAGGATTCTTTTCAGCACTAAGTCTCCTTCCCTAAAGTGACGAGGGTGAATTTTCTTATCATGTGCTCTCATCATCCTCTTTTGATATAATTGACCATAATAAAGTGCTGTAAGTCTTATCTCTATAATGAGATTTAACTGTTTGTAGCGATTCCACACCCATTATGCTTCCTCTAACTCTACCTCTCTCAGGACTCTTAACGAGAGAATTTTCGCTTCGATCAACAACATTGCTTTCATTTCATATATAAAAAAGAATAGGGTGGCCCCAATAGATATTCGGATTGATGTTCTATAAGCATGCAAAATAAAAGGTAACTTTTCATGCCAATCTTTGTAAGTATCAGTCATTTTTTTAAAGATTCTTTTGATATTCTTGTTTACAACCTTTACTGTCCTATTTATTTTTGGATGATATGATGTCGAATTACAATGACGGATCCTAAACTAAGTGCATACTTCATTCATCATTTTGCTGTTCAAGTTTTTAACAGTATAAAAAATAATCATCTCTGAAAGCTCATATCTGTATATTATCTCTTTTTTTATGAACTTACATACCACGGATCGGGTCACGCTAGCATACAATGTAGCTTTTACCCACTTCGTGAAATAATTAATTATCACAAAGATGAATCTATGCCCATTCGAAGCTTTTAGAGTAATAAGCCCAATGACATCCATGCCCTAAATAAAGAATGGTCATGGAAGAACCAAAACATGTAATGTTGAGAATATGAATCTTATCAGTATAGATCTGACACTTATGGCATCTTCTAACATAATCATACAATCACT